CTATCTATCTATCTATCTATCTATCTATCTATCTATCTATCTATCTACAGTATCTATTTATCCATCCATCCATCTATCCATCTATCTACCCATCCATCCATCTATCCATCTATCTACCCATCTATCCATCTCTTTCTTTCTTTCTTTCTTTCTTTCTTTCTTTCTTTCTTTCTTTCCTTCTTTCTTTCTTTCTTTCTTTCTTTCTTTCTTTCTTTCTTTCTTTCTTTCTTTCTTTCTCCCTCTCTCTCTCTCTCTCTCTCTCTCTATCTCTATCTCTATCTCTATCTCTCTATGCCAGATTTAAGGTGGCACCGCTAGCACTCCGATGCGACCTCCCCTCGTCCTTCTGGATGGCTTCCCCCAGCATTGTATCTGCGCCCCGTGGTTAATGATAGGGGAGAAAGAGAGGCGGCCACTGATGAATATTGAGCAAGGCTGTGTTAAGTGAGACAATCTCCCAGGAGATACGGCTAGTCCTCAACTTACAGTAGCTCCTTTAGTGACCATTCAAAGTTACAATAGCCCTGGAAAAAGGGAACTTTTGACCATTGTTCACACTTACGACTGTTGCTTGCATCCCCATAGTCACATGATCAAAATCCGGATGGTTGGCAACTGGCTCAGGTTCCACCTGATGTTTGCAGTGTCTCAGAGTCACGTGATCGTTTTTTTTGGCGACCTTCTGACCAGCAAAGTCAACGGGGAAGCCAGATTCACTTAACGACCAGGTTACTAATTTAACCACTGCAGTGATTCACTTAACAAACGTGGCAGGAGAGGTCATCAAATGGGGCAAAACTCCATAATCGTCCTGCTTAACAACACTTTGGGTTCAGTTGTGGCCAACAGTCAAGGACTTACCTGTATTTGTTTGGTTCAGCCTCAGATGTTGCCATTTTCTCTGCCCGCCTCTGTTGCTATGAAGAAAGTGAAAAAATACCTTCATTTTGTCTCCCACAGGTTTGGACTTCTTTTCGTTCTTACCAGGAGACAATCAGGTATGTTGCATGTTAATTTATTGGTGTATTCATGTATTTCCAGAATCTCCAAAAATTCCCAGCATTTTGGAGTGCAGAAGTACACTTAAAATAATACATAATATAACACCCCTAATTATCCACCCATCCTAGTCACCTTTAAGGTTAAAGGTACAAGGTTAAAAGTTTCCTGTAGCTACTGAGGGGATTTCACAAGTTGATTGGCAAATTCCCGTTTGCAAAGGCATTTTTGTACTAAAATGCCATAATCTGGTGCAGGCATCCAGTGCATGACAAAAGTGGTGTAAAATTGTGCTAGTAAACTACCAAAAGGAGAACTGTTCTGCCCAGCTCAGACCTCACTGGCTTCCCGTTCTCTTCCCTCTTCCCATTTAATAGCAATAGCACTTAGACTTATATACCGCTTCACAGAGCTTTCCGGCCCTCTCTAAGCGCTTTACAGAGTCGGCCTCTTGCCCCCAACAATCTGGCTCCTCATTTGACCCACCTCGGAAGGACAGAAGGCTGAGCCAATCTTGAGCCTCGTGAGACCCAAACTGCTGGCAGCCGGCAGTCAGCAGAAGTAGCCTGCAGTACTGCACTCTGACCACTACGCCACTGCGGCTCTTTAATGGGTTCCCAAGGCGCCTCGGCCTTCGTTCAGAGGCCGTGACTGATATTCCAGCTGTGACTCGGTGGCTGCCGAACCTTGAAACCCACCCTGGTGCCCCGACTCCAGACGTGAGATTTCGCAGGGCCTCTCCATCGCCTGGGCTTGGGAAGCCTCTAACTCCCACTCCAGTGATCCCAGGTTTGGGGCTGGCAGTAGAAAGTGACAGGGTGTCCTTGACCCTCCCCGGTTTCATCAGCCTTTGATCTCCTCCCCAGCATTACAGCAGTTCCATTTTGGCGGCCGCCGCCGCCGCCGTCTCCACTTCCGACGATCAAGAACTCTTGCACTCCCGGTTTTTCCCCTACGCTTCGTCGCAGATGTTCCTGGACCAGCTGAACTCGGGAGCGGGCGCCACGCTGCCCACCACGAACGGCAGCAACAGCGGCAGCAACAGCAGCCTCGTCTCCTCCACCAGCATCCGGGAGGCCCACAGCCACCCCGTGGCCGGCAGGGGCAGCACAGACCCGGCCTCGCTCTTCGGCGTCATGCCGGACATCATTTCTTTGGACTGAGCTCGGCTGAGGTGTCCCTGGACTCCGTGGGTGAAGAGATTTGCGATTTCCTTTGACCTTATTTTTGTTTAGAACTGCAGATAAGCTTTTCCTTTTTTTTGTAGGGGGGAAAAAGAAAAAAGAGAGACGTGTACAGAGAACAAAGCTATATTTTCAGTTGTACTTTTGTATATAAACCTAAGATAATTGGACTGGTGAAAAACAAAACAAGACAACAATGACAAAAGCTCCCAACAGAATTGCCTGGGATCTGGAAGACTTTTCCCCTCCCGATTTATCTTGTGCGCTGGCGGGCTTGTTTTGAAGCAGTGCTGAAGCAGTGCTGACGGGGGAAACGGTGCACTTGAAACCCTGAACGTCACAGAGGACTTGTGATCCTTGAGGAAACGGAACGGCACCCACAATAATTGGAGAGAATTTCTCCTTCCTTAAGGCTCCATTGGGAAAGTTGGCCTGCACATTTGCTTTGAAGCAAAATGCCATGTTTGCAATTGAATTGGACCTTCTGCTCATTTGTTTATCCCAAAGTAGGACAGCGGCTGTTTGAGTTACCGAAATTCCATGGCGTTTCCTCGTGTGTCAGCTGGATGTAGGTTTGGGAAAGTCTTTTTTGGCTGTTTGTTCTGATGTGGACCCACATTTTTTTTCTTTGGATTGCGTGGATTAGCTAGCGCTGCCTTGGTTTGCTCATAACTCAGATTTCACAGTTCTCCTCTTCGCTTAAGTGTTTGCCATTGAAGGGTTATTCCACTCAGTTGGATGAGACCAAATGGCTTCTTAAAATCTGGGTGCCAGTGAGGGCACCCTTGGTTGAGGTAGTTGCTTGGCGTTACTGTGGCAATTAAACTCTTTGTCTAGAGTTCTAAAGGCAAAGAAATTGGTGGAATTTTTAGAACATGTTTACTAAATAGAGCCAACCCATCAATATTTAAGAGGAATAATGTAATTTCAGTAAGCTTATTGTGCAGTTGACAGTGTTAACGGCCATCCTATGCACCAATCCTAGAAAACATTTTTATTTTATTTTTTTGGCTTGGGAAAACGTGCCCTGTTGAATTGAGTAGGATTTAGCACAACTAATATTTGAGTAAATAATCCCTAGGATTGGGCTAAAGAGTGGCCCATTAAATTATGACAAAAAGTCCTTCCTTTTGTATTGCAGCTTATTGGAAAATAAAAACCTGCAAGATTATTTGTCCCTCTTCTTTCCCATCTTCTGAAGGGAGATACGGGACTTACCCTTTTAGCGTTTGTAAATTCCATACCGAGGGATGAATGTTTCGTTAGAAAACTGTTTTTATTTGGCTGATTTTTTAAAAAAGCATCCCCCCCCCCAAAAAAAATAAAAAAAATAAAATAACAAAACATGAAAATTGGCAGGAGGTTTTAAAAAGAAAATGACAGGGAATGACAAGTGAAATTTTCTGCATGCCAAAATCTGTGTTGAGATCAGAAGGTTTTATAACTCACCTTAAAATCAAGTTTTAAAAACGATGCAGATTTCAGCAGGAGGAAGTCAAGGGGTGAAACGAGGGCTGGCCTTTTTGTTTCGTCTTAATCAGGAGGCACATTAGCTGGTTCCTTGAACCATGATCTGGAAACATTTTTCCAAGCGCTTCTTTTCAAGGCTGTCTTTTAGTGAAACTTAAATCAATGAGAAACTACAAATTTTTAATCTTAAGTGATTTCTTTTATATAGACCTCAGAAATGTTACATTGGATTTTCTGAAATACATCCCATTTGCCATTTACATTTTGAATTTTAGGAATGTTTGTTTATATGTACATGCGTGTGTATATATGTATTTATAGAAATGTGCGTGTGAGAGCGAAGGTGTGTATTCTGTTCCATGCATGTATTCTATTCATGTTTGGCCAATATGATTCCTTGCTAGTTTCTAATTTATTAAATGGCAGTAAAAGTTAAAGAAGCAAGTAGAAAACAGTAATATTTTCTAAATTCACTATAGCTTGGGGCATTAAAGCTAATACTGGCTTAAGAATTATACCTAACGTTTAAAATTTATCCTCTCTGTGTTCCAAGTGAAGATTGGGAAATAGCCAGATGGATGGCTATAGAACAGAATTGGCACCGTTCCCTTGAAAGTCTGTGGCCTTCGATCTGACATTTTTGCATAACTCCAAATAATTGTTTTTGTTGAATACTTAAAAGTATATGTTCTAATAACACACCATAGCACATTGTAAGATGTGCCCCTCTCCGGGTGGTTAAGCTAGAGAGCGTGGGCCCAGCGTGTGTAAAAATGAGCTGCAGTCACGCTCTGTTGACCTGTGATGGAGAATCAGGACATGTACAGTAGATGCATCAGGCAAGTAGCCGTGTGAAGTTTGTTTGCACTGACCACGAATCGTACGTACTGTGATCTGCATGTATACTGGCTCCCCTGCTGCACCTAACCTTAGGAAAGCTGAATTTATGCACTGCTTTGAGTGGGTTCATGGAGAGGGTGTTTAGCTTTGTGTGTGCGTGTGTCCGTCCGTCCGTCCGTGTGTCCGTGGTGCATTCTGGGCTGGACGTGCATCAGAAGAATTTTGATCCGGCTCTCTGTCTGATAAAGGATTGGGCGTTGCGGGAAACATAGGATTTCCTCCACGTTAAATTGACTTGATAATTATGAAACGAAAGTCCTGCTGGTACTTCAGTTTTTCAACGAACCAAATAGAAGAGCCATCTCTGGCTGCCAGGGGGCAGGTGAGGTTGCACCTGAAAGCAGCACCGATCGTTTGAATGTGAGATATTCAGTAACATCCCAAATGGAAGCTGGAGGGAGTCAATGCCAATTCTTCTGCGCTAAATCTTTTCAACCTAAATTAAGTCAGAACATGCATCAGACTTTGGGAGTTACAATATATTTTGACTACAGGATTTTCTTCTGTGGGGAGATGTCCTTGCCAAACTTAATTTTTGACCGTGGTAGAGTTTTTCTGGGAAGCAAAAGGGTCTGTTTTGCTTAATTGGACAACGTAAGACCTACGTATTTCATTTTGTATATTTGCTTTTGTGGGGATGGTGGCTTATGATTTTTCCCCACCGAGAGGAGTGTGTGGGTGTGGATGTGCTTATGACTTGTATGTCTTGTTTGTACTTTGTGTACGTTGTGCTCTGTGTGTATACACGCAGGTGCAAGAGTCTTCTATAATAAGAGTGATTTTGAATCACTTCTGTGGGCATTAACTAGACGCATCATTTTCCTGTTTAAAAACCTGAATGCAAAACCAAAATTGCAAGCAAAATCCACAGTATTTTAACTGCATTCCCACGTTTCTTCTGTTCTCTACTGAAACAGAACTAACGTATCAACCTGAAGCTGATTCTTACTAGTAATTCTGCTGTACTTTGGCTAAGCTTTCCCATTATATTAAACATTTCCTAGCTTTTCTCATAATTTGAAATTATGGTTTCTTATTTTATTTTATTGTTCTTCGGTAAGAGCTTTGATTTCTATTGAACTAAAACTGCCAGAGGCCCCAATGTGTGCTGCTGTTAATTGTTCTGATTAACAAAAGGGAAGAACCTGTGTATATAAAGTGAAAAACAGAAAAAGTGATTCCATAAACGCAGATCTGTGATTCATTGCCTTAAACTTTCTCTTAAGTTTCCATACAGCATGCCAAACAAGTTTTAAAAAGTGGCTTTTAAAAATGTATAGTAGACCAATGTCAGTTTGTATAAAAGTACCAAGTGAAAATATTTATTACATGCATTGGAAGAGAAATGGTTTACCCTATTGAATGTTACTTGTTTATGTAAAACATCTTTAGATGTAATAAAAACATTATTATGTTCTCTCTTGTGGAATAACTTGCCATGTATGCACAGTAATAGACTGGGTTTGCAAGAGGTAAATTCTTGGTAAATTCTATTCAAAAAACCAGTGCAAATTGAAAGAACCTTAGTTGTAGCTTGCTATTTGTGCCAGGAGGCACTGGCTGTCTTTGGAATCAGGAGCTGCCAAGCTGGAGGATGTACACTACTTTATGAGTATCTGGGTACGTCAGTGTGGTAGTGGATGACTGCGCAGGCTCTGGTTACGTGATTGTTCTTAAAGTCTCACGAGAACCTCTGGTTCGAGTAGCTGCTCCTGATGCTGCTTCACACCACGTTCGGTGACCACAACACAGCTGCATCACACTGATTCAATGGAATAGGAGTTGCCTTTGGAAGTTGTGGGAGCTTCATCCCTGGAGGCTTTCAAGAAGAGACTGGACATCTGACATCTGTCAGAAATAGTGTAGGGCAGGGGTGGGATTCAATTTTTTTAACAACCGGTTCTGTGGGCATGGTTTAGTTGGTGGGCGTGGCTTGGTGGTCATGTGACCAGGTGGGTGTGGCTTGGTGGTCATGTGACTGGCTGGGCGTGGCCAACTCAACATCACTCACATCGAGGCACGCATCTCCTCGCCTGGCCTCTCATGACACTGGGGATGCTGCAACAGTCAGTGTGAAAAATGGTCATAAGTCACTTTTTTCAGTGCCACTGTAACTGAATGGTCCCTCCACACAAGCAAAATACCAGCAAAGGAGGGTAAAAAACTCCAGAGACTTTCCAGAGACAGGAGGTCTAGTCCTGCCAAGAATGTAATAAGGGTCAACGGAGAGGCAGTTTCTGTAAGCAACACCAGAATGTTTCCTTCCTGCCTTCCTTACAGGATTAGCCCAGGAATTTCTTCTAACAACCGGTTCTCCGAACTGCTTAGAATGTTAACAACTGGTTCTAGCGAATAGGTGTGAACTGGTAGAATCCCACCCCTGGTATAGGGCCTCTTGCTTGGGCGGAGGGTTGGACTAGCTGACCTACAAGGTCCCTTCCAACTCTGTTAATCTGATCTGACTCCTTGCAATGTGCTTCCTCACAAAAAGCAAACTTTATGGATTGCACGATACTGAAAAGTATTTCCAGTTTGTGAGCACCTTCTTTTTGATTACTTAAAAAAAAACCAAAGAAACTTCACTCGAACAGAAAATAAGCATAGTAGATTTTACTCAGAAAAGCTAACATTTCTGCTTTTCTTTCATTGTTTAACATATTTCTTTTTGTTTGCCACTAAGTGTTTATTTTTTAAGACAAAAAGGCAGTCAGGCCCCAGGTTCCAAGAAGAACTGATGAAGGCTGCAAGAAGCGTGGGTTGCTTTTTTGCAATTCAGTAATCATCAAGTGGAAGTGTGATTGATTGAATTAAGTCTTCATACTTCACCAGTCCGTTGTGTCCTGTTCTGGCATTCTTCAAAAGGTTGTCCACTGTAAGCAATGGCAGAATAATTGAACTTCAGGTTGCAGGTTACAGGTATTCAGACTATTTATTTCAGATCTTTAATTAGATGTCAAATTGTGGATAGGCAGGAGGTGAAATTGGGAATTAACATATCCGGCACTGCCTGGGTGTAGCTGACTCTGAGACACATAATCCATTGTCACCCTTGACCCCGGTTTTCCCTCCACCCCCTGGGCGTATCGTAATTCATATTCTCCAATGGGAAACATCTATAGCCCAAAGTCATCAATCAGGCTGTCCAGTTAGAATTTTGCACGGCAGAAACTCCAGTCACCTAGCTACTATCTTTGAAAACATTTGTGGAATGCGGTTTCAGTTTTGCAAGCTGCTGCACTGCTCCCCCCTCCTCCCTTTCTGTTGGCAACTCTAAAAAGACCATAGAAATATTTTACGAGTTACAACCTGGTTTGAAGCAGGTTGAGGTTTGGGATAGGACTAACTGAAATACCTCCAAGTACAGTATAGATCAGGGGTGTCAAACTTGCAGCCTGTGGGCCAGATATGTCACGCGCTGGCCATGCCCACCCCCAGTTTACCAAAGGGGGGGGGGAATCACAATACATTACATGACAACGCGAGTTTGACACCCCTGGTATAGATCAATAGCCATAACACTTCGATTTATATACCCATTCTATGGTGCTTTACAGAACTCTTGAGCGGTTTACAAAGTCGGCATTTGGACCCCAACAATCTGGGTCTTCATTTGACCAACCTTGGAAGGATGGAAGGCGGAGTCAACCTTGGGCCCTGTCAGGATCGAACTCCTGGCTGTTCAGAGAGTTTGCCTAGAATACTACACTCTAACCCAAGGGTCTTCCAACTTGGCAAGTTTAAGACTTGTGGGACTTCAACTCCCAGAATTCCTGAGCTAAAATGACTGGAGGAGGAATTCTGGGAGTTGAAGTCCCACAAGTCTTAAACTTGCCAAGTTGGAAGACCCTTGCTCTAACCACTAGGCCACCAGGACTCGGAGTTCTTAAAGCTAAGAACAAACCAGAGGAGGGGTCTCTAACCTTGGCAACTTGAAGACCGCCAGGCTTCAAGTGGCCAAGGGTGGAGACTCCTGAACTAGAGAGCCACCTAGATGAGTCCAACGTCTGAACCTGGGAAGGGATTATTATAAAGAGGATATCCAAGAAGAAGGAGAAATCTTGACCGCTCCCAGCCACAAAATACTTTTTAATCCACGTTAAACCACAAAATCCACTAGCACTCCTTCTTTCATGCACCTGTTCTGTGTGTCTGGTTGTTGATCTCTCCTAGCACAGAATCTGAAACCACAAAGCCCTTCAACAATTCTGTGGAACTGAAGTATTTATTACGCCGCAGAAAAATATTAAAAATGGAGAAAATTAATCATGGAATGTGTCTTAATTTATTTAATTTGAATTTAAACAAAAATCCCTATTCGTTTTTATCCCAAGGGCATACTTTTTGGAAACTGGCCCTCCACCCACTGCTGAGGGTCCTATGAAGATTTTTAGGTTCTTCCTACACTGAGAGTAGATGCTTAGTTTTTAACTCTACCAACTGACAGAATCCTGCACCAAGTTACCATGTCTGCTGTGCTGAATAGAAACATTATGCGGTGGAGGAAAACCTGTAGGAAAAAAATGGTGTTTTCCAGCTTTACCATTGTGGTATGCTGGACTGTAATATTTATACTGATACTCTGGGACGGGTCTCCAACCTTGGCAACTTCAAGACTTGTGGACTTCCACTTCCAGAGTTCCTTAGCCAATTTACATATGCATGGACATTCACGCTTTTGCATCTTCACAGCCCTGTCAGTGCAACCCTCCACAACAGTCCCCGTTTCTCATGTGTCTCCTTGGGAAGATTAATTGCCCAGCCCTGATCTAGAGGACACAAATTAACCTAGTTAATTAACAATGATACCCTGCTTCCCTGAAAACAAGACCCAGCCAGAAAATAAGACCTAGCGTGATCTTCTGGGATGCTCATAATATAAGCCCTACCCCAAAACTAAGCCCCAGTTAAGAATGTCAGCCAGACAGATACATTTAGCACTGTGTTTTCCCCCAAAAAGGTCTAACCAGAAAATAATCCCTAATGCATCTTTTGGAGCAAAAAATTAATATAAGACCAAGTCTTATTTTAGGGGAAACATAGGAATGTAACAGCCTTTGCTCGCTCCCTCTTCCCTTGCATCTTCGTGTACAGTTGTACCTTGGTACTCAACTGCTTCAAAACTCATTAAATTTGGTTCTGGATGCATTTTGAGGTGAACATGTTGTCCCAGTGCTCAGCCTTTGAACTCAGTGTGCTGCTATGGGAAGAGGGGAATCATTATGGGGAACAAACAGGAAGTCAGCCATGCTGGGAAGTCTCTGCCAGAGAAGGGGGACAGCCATAGAGGGCGGACAGGAAGGCTATGCTGGGAAGGTCACCGACCTAGAAAAAGGGACAGATAGAAAGTTCCTTCCCGGTCAAAACAAAGGGTCACTTGGTTTGTTTAGGACTTGTCCTTTTAAGTACCCATCGCAGCGCCCAGAATGAATTAAGGCCAAGTACTGAGGGCTACTGTCTGGAAAAAGCCCTCTTCCAAGGGTCAAGGCATAAAGACCTTTGCCCGAGACTCACCCTCTTCCTTGGATAGCTTCTCTCCAAGGTTCATTAGCTTCGCCTGCAATTCAGCCACGGAGATGAACCCGGTCCTTTGCTGGTCTACCATTAACATGGCCAGAAGGATTTCATTCCTTGGATCTTCCTGCTGCATTTGCCTATACATCATGGTCAGGAAAGTTGAAAAATCCAGTTCTTCGTTGACATCTGTAAGTGAGAAGGAAGGTGCAAGGCCGGCACTGCATGAAGAGAAAACTACGAAAGCCCATCACTTAGCATGTCTCTCCGTGTAAATCAGGGTTGCCTGCTTGTCGTCTTAAGCTGGTTGTCATCTTTGGAAGCCATATTAGCACCAGGAGCTTCCACGCTGCTACATTCCTGTGCCTGGGAAATTGGGTGGGGGGGATTTTGTAGACTGTATGTAGTTATACACAAGAGCATTCCTCCTTTTGGTCAAGGTCATGGTTTTCCTGGTTGAAGGGGTGTCTCGAATTGGGACAGATGATGACTGGACCATATGATGGACTGATGGGTGCAGGGGTTGGGTTTTGGACTTTTGAATTACTAAGGGAAAACCCAGAGCTCCCCAGATTCGGGTTTCCCCAGGTGTGCCAGTATGACTCTTCTAATGAAATGGAACCTGGAGAAAATGCCTGCCTCGGAGTTTTGAGGTTGGAGTTTGGGTTTTCTGGAACACTGACATTGACCCAAATCTCTAGTATGGAGCCTAGAACCCAATATCAGTGTCATGGCTTCCTGCCCCTTTGGAGTAAGGAAATGGACAAAGACATTTTAAAATAGTCTTCCTACAATAAGGAGTACGATAGAAAGTTCCTGATCTCCCCAGACTCTGCCAAGACTGAAATATCCTAGCCCTGCCTGCCAGCCCATGTGTGAAATAGCTCTGGCTTTACAGATCCCTTTGGAGATTCTCAGTCATCCAGGTCACGGTTCAGGGGTGGGATTCAACTGGTGTTACCACCGATTTGCTGAGAGAGTATCGGTTTTGTGTGCGCGTGTTCAGCATTTGCAAAAAAAAAAAAAAACCCCAGCTGTGCCGCCCAGACAGCTGACAAGCGCCGCGTGTGGGTGTGCAGTGTTTGAAAATCCTCTTCTTTCCTGCTTTTCCAACCTCAACTGGGCCGCGCAAAGCAGCTGAGGTTGAAAAAGCAGGAAATAAAGGACAGGGAAGAGCCCGGGCGGGCGGGTGGGCCAAACAGATGACCCAAAGATCATTGCAGCGAACTTGGTTCGGTGTCTGCTGCTCTTCAGAGCTACCGGTTCTATAGAACCGGGCCGAACCGGTAGCATCCCATCCCTGTCACGGTTGTCCCAAAGAAGCTTTTTCCAAGAGGCAGTTGAAAAAGGCAGTTCTTGGTTTTTCCTTGAAAACTTCACTTCCCATCCAAAGAAGCTTCTTCCGTTCTTCAGAAGGTTGAAGAAGGTTCTTGGATGAGAAGCTAAATCTCTTCAAGAAAAAACAGATAGTTCAGTTGACTTTTGAAAAAGCACCGTGTGATAGCTTTACAGACCTTGTTCCACTCCCATAGGTCAAGTATGGGTCCAGGTACCAAAAGGTGATCCATTTCTGCTCCAAGCTAACATCCTAGTTTTCCATAATGACTGGATGCTTAATTTTTGTAAAGAAAGGCCGAAAGAGAAGTAATTTGAAGCTCTGAAGGTTTCCCAAAACTGTCCCTGTCATCTTTTCTCCTGCATCACCACAGGAGGATAGTTTCATATCCTTGAATATGAACTATATTTCATATTTCAGCTGATCTTTCCGTAGATCAGTACCACGCTTTCCTTAGAAAGTGTAGAATTATTTTCATTTTATTTCTATAATACCAGAATAAAAAGAAAAATTTGTAGAACCAGTTCAGCGATGATTTGTAGCAAGCTCTTCACCTTTCTTTAACCATTTGAGATGCTGACCAGAATTCTAAAGATTCTTTGCCAATAGTGACTATATTTGAGAAGTCCAAAAAAGCTCCCAATTCGTTTAAATTGAATAAATCTGTGGAACAAGAACTGCTGAGATTTGCATTTCAAAAGCTCACCAGGTTCCCAGCTTAGAAAACAATCTTAGAAGGCAAAAATGCAAGATTATTTTTAGAAGGATTGATTTTCTTTAGTAAAATAACAAACCACACAGTAGAGAATATATATATATATATATATGGCTCCAGGCTGAACTCTGCATTCTTGGTATTCTCTGAGCTAGATTGTAAAACAGTGGCCGTCAAACCCCAATCTGGCTTGTTGGGAACCGGACTGAGCAAGCCATGTGCTAGTGAGTGAAGCTTCATCTGCACACGCAGGTTGTAGTCATGGCTAGGAGAGATTTTGCACTTTGGTATTGTGTCCCAGTTGTACCTGTTTCTTGATTGGCAAGCTTTTACTCTGAGTCCCTCCCAAAAGGACCACTGTAATGAAAACAGCCCTTGAAAAGCATGCAAAATGCAGTGGTGCAGGAAATTATCTATGCCCCAAGAATAGCACATTACATCTCTGCTCCATGAGCTGCACTGGCTGCCATCCAGGTTCAGTCAAGGGGCTGGTTTTGATTTTTAAAGGCCAATATGGGATGGAGCTGGGTTATTTATGAGCCATGGTGGCACAGTGGTTAGAATGCAGTATTGCAGGCTGACTCTGCCGACTGCCAGAAGTTTGATCCTGACTAGCTCAAGATTGACTCAACCTTCCATCCTTCCAAGGTTGGTAAAATGAGGACCCAGATGGTTGGGGGCAACAGGCTGACTCTGTAAACTGCTTAGAGAGGGCTGGAAAGCCCTGGGAAGCGGTATGTAAGTCTAAGTGCTGAGGGAGGGAGGGAGGGAGGGAGGAGAGATGATTGAGGGATGGAAGGAAGGAACAGAGGGGATGGAGGGGGAAGGAAGGAGAGAAGGGGGAGAGAGAGAGTCGAGAGGGAGGATGGGAAGATGGATGGATGAATGGATGGAAGGAAGGAAGGGCCGTTGTGGCACAGTGGTTAGAATGCAGTATTGCAGGCTGACTCTGCCAACTGCCAGGAGTTGGATCCCAACTGGTTCAAGGTTAATTCTGCCTCCCATCCTTCCCAGGTGGGTAAAATGAGGACCCAGATTGTTAGGGACAATAGGCTGACTCTCTAAACTGCTTAGAGAGGGCTGGAAAGCCCTGGGAAGTGGTATAGAAGTCTAAGTGCTATTTCTATTGCTATTATTTCAGGCAGCACATCTTCCCGTCCCATCAACTGGGAAAGAAACTCTGCAGGGAGTGGGAAATCAAACACGCTCCTGACATGCTTAGCTAACAGCTTTGTCATACAAAAGGTAGCGGAGGGAACTAGAGGGACAGCGACATTAGACCTCCGTCTTACATATATGAAATGAAATCATTGAAGGAGTAGATCAGGGGTGGGATTCAAATTTTTTAACAACCGGTTCTGTGGGTGTGGCTTAGTTGGTGGGCGTGGCTTGGTGGTCATGTGACCGGGTGGACATGGCTTGGTGGTCATATTATTGGCTGGGCATGGCCAACTCAATATCACTCACATCGAGGCACGCATCTCCTTGCCTGGCCTCTCGTGACTGTGGGGATGCTGCAACAGTCATAAGTGTGAAAAATGGTCATAAGTCACTTTTTTCAGTGCCATTGTAACTTTGAATGGTCACTCCACACAAGCAAAGTACCAGCAAAGGAGGGGAAAAAAACTCCAGAGACGTTCCTGAGATAGGATGTCTAGTCCTGCCAAGAATGTAATAAGGGTTAATGGAGAGGCAGTTTCTGTAAGCAACACCAGAATGTTTCCTTCCTGCCTTCCTTACAGGATTAGCCCAGTAATTTCTTCTAACAGCCGGTTATCCAAACTGCTTGGAATGTTAACAACCGGTTCTAGCGAATAGGTGCGAACTGGTAGAATCCCACCCCTGCAGTAGATGTTACAGAAACCTGAGGAGAGAGTGACTAGGACATACTTAAATTCACCAAAGTGCAACCACAGGCAACTAAACCACTAGTGTTTTAAGAGAGCTGACACAAAGAAGAGGAGGTCAACTTATTTTCCTAAGGAACAGACAGCAAGACAAGAAGCAATGGATGAAAACTAACCAAGGAGAGAAGCAACTTGGAATTAAGGAGTGAGTAAGGAGTGAGTAAGGAGTTCTCATCCTGACAGTGAGAACAACTAATCAGTGGAACACCTGGCCGTCAGAAGCTGAGGGTGCTTCATCACTGGAGGTTTTTAAGAAGAGATCGGACAGCCATTTGTCTGAATGGGTATAAGATCTCCTGGCTTGAGCAGGGGGTTGGACTAGATGACCTCCAAGATCCCTTCCAACTCTGATGATGTTTCATGTTCTTTAAATGTTACTTCAACAAGCTAAGAGAGAGACTAGGGAGGATTCCATGGATGGATATCTTAAAAGGAAAAACAGGTTGAGTTGTTTAAGAAACCCTGAAACAGGAGATAATGAAGAGAAATAATACCACAGAGATGGACAAGTAAGACGACCAGCATGGTTGCATAAAGAATTAGCAGACAAATTGAGGGACAAAAAGGTCAAATAAACAGACCTGCTGAATCTACCAGGAAGGACTCAGGAAAGCCAAAGGCCCAGAATGAGCTAAGACTTGCAACAAAACGTTAAAAATAATCTATAAGGTTTCTTACAAGCAGGAAGTTAAGGAAACAAGAGACCTGTTAATGGGAGCACATGGCTCGAAGGTGTCAGGCAGCAGGGAAAAATAGTGTGGAGCTTGCTAGTTAGGTGGTTAGATTGTTTGTAAGACTCTGAGCGTACTTGCCCCTGTTTACTGTTTATACTAGTTAATCATTTGACAGTTTCGGCTGTTGCTATTTTAATTATGTGAGTCACGCAGAGTCACATATGTGTGATGGGCGGCTATGTAAATTCAACAAATAAATAAAAAAGGCAAAATAACTATTAAGCGCAGTGGAAATTCAACATACTTTACTTTTAATTTGGAAAGATATGGAAAAATCTTGCTAAGAAAATGGATTTATTTCCAGCTTTAAGCGGCATGATGACGACAAATGAATTGATGGGGCCAAGATTGATGGCTCATCTATCCCTGAAATATTGTTATGTTTATATTATGATCAAATTTGAATTTGTAGTATCATAGAGGGATAGAATAAAGACCATATGAAGTGTTAGTACCAGTTTATAACGCCTTAGTATGACCACACTTGGAGTGCTGCATCCAGTTTTGATCAACATGATGTAAAAAAGATGTAGAAACATACGATGAACGGTTGCAGGAACTGGGCCTGGCTAGTCTAGTAAAGAGAAGGACCAGGGGAAACAGGAGAGCATCTTCCAATATTTGAGGGGCTGCCACAGAGAGGAGGAGGGGGTCAAGCTACTTTCTAAAGCGCCTGTAGACCAGACAAGGAATAATGGATGGAAACTGAATAAGGAGAGAACCAACCTAGAACTAAGGAGAGATGACAGTGAGAAAAATTAATCAGTGGAACAACTTAACTTCAGAAGATTTGGGTGCTCTATCACTGGAGGCTGTCCAATCATTTGTCTAAAATGGAATAGTCTCTCCTGCTCAAGTAAGGGGTTAGACTAGCTGACCTCCAGGGTTCCTTCCAACTCTGTTATTCTATATTATTTCAGCCCCTTTATTAATGATCCTTAATGTAAACTTTCCCTTTTCTCATGTGCTGAACGTTTAAGATAAATTTAATACATTTACCATTAGAATAGAATAACATATATTTGTAGAGAGCCCAAGGCTGTCACACATCTATTTTAAAGGTCAAAGGAAATCAGCCTCTGATATCAGCATCTTACCAGGAAAATGTGCTCCGTTTGAATTATCATACATTTTCCAGGCTCAGTGAAGGCTTGTGGACTTCAATTCCCAGAATTCTCCAGCCAAGTTTGGGGACCCCCATTTTGTACCATGGACATGTAGTTGCATCCCCTGGAATCTTTCCATATGGTGCCACTGGTGCACTCTTGTTCTGTAGCAGAACAACACATGACTGGGAACATATATGTGAATTACATTTAATGTTAATTAACTACACGCATTTGCCTGATCTCCAGAAGTTAAGCAGGGAGGGAGATCTTACTGACACTTACCGATCTTGTGGAGCTGAAGGTGCCTGGCCACCTCTCCCAGAGTTGGGCTGGTGCCCAAACTGCGCATGACAACGATAAGATCGCTGGCCTTGATCCTGCCTTTCTGCCTTTTGTCATACAGGGAAAAACACTCCTTGAATTCTGTTTAGGAGAAAAGGAGAAGGACCACGGGATGGTTTCTGAGGCTGAGAGGCAAGGAACGTCTGGGCTCAACTCTCCACCGGAGGGAGGATAAAGTAGAATTCTTTACTGGCCAAGTGTGACTGGACACACAAGGAATTTGTCCTGGTGCAAATGCTTTCAGTGTACATAGAAGAAAACATACATTCATCGAGAATCATAAGGTCCAACACTTAATGATCGTCATAGGGTACAATAAGCCATCAAATGATACCAGGAAACAATATAAATTGTAAGGATACAAGCGACAAAGTCACAGTCATACAGTCACAAGTGGGAGGGGATGAGCGAGAAGGAGTGATGAGAAGGTTAATAGTGATAGTAGTGCAGACTTTGTAAATAGTTGGACAGTGTTGGGGGAATTATTTGTTTAGCAGAGTGATGGCGAACTGTCCTTGTGTCTAGTAGTTCTGGTGTGTAGGGCTCTATAGTGTCGTTTTGAGGAAAGGAGTTGAAACAGTTTATGTCCGGGATGTGAGGGATCTGTAGATATTTTCCCAGCCCCCTTTTTGACTCGTGCAGTACACAGGTCCTCCACGGAAGTCAGGTTAGTAGCAATTGTTTTTCCTGCAGTTTAATGCACTTGAACCTGAGTTTCTATGGTCCTGTCCAATACCTTCACCCCCGCGCTTGTTAGACTAGCCAGTGAGGTATACAAAGCTGCGGATGCAAGTGACCTTCTAGCCCTCCTATCTTAGCTGGTGGCTGGTGCCCCTTTGACCCCGAAAGTGCCCCCGTCTCTAAGGACAGCTTGCCTTTCTTCCAGAAACTCTACCGGGTCCCTTCTGTCCTGGCATTCATACCTTTTTTTCCAAGCAATATAATTGCTACCTAGCAATTCTTGGAAAGGACAATGCACCAAGAGGTCATTCACATGTTAATGTAGCCCTGAAATGCAAGGCAAGAATTGTAGCCTTTTTTAAAGAATGCAAAGAGTGTGACCGACACTCTTCAGATGGACAGGAACTTTTTACCTAGGGATCAATCGCAGGTTTCATAGATGGAAGTTGTACAAAAGAATATGGCCCTCTCCTGGTCTTACAAATTCTTTCGTAGGGAAGTGGAAAGGGACCTGCCCTGCCCTGCCCTCCCAGAAAGCCAGAGTCAAGTTTTCTCAAGGAAGACCAGGATGGACGTAATGACAGAGAAGGGTAATAAGCTGCCCTTTTGAAATGAGAAAGGCACCTACCATTGATCTGATCCTGGGTTAGAAACTTTGCCTGCAAGACAAAAAGGGGAAACAACAATGAAGCAACCTCATTCTGCTCTGCCAAAGGATTCCCCCAGCCACCATCCTGGCCAAATTGTTCCCAGTCACCATTTGGAAGGTTTTGGGGTGCAGATGCTGGTTCCTCCTCGGCTGCCCTGCCTGCCTTCCGCCCCCAGCTTCCTCCTTGATGAAGGGGGCAAAGTCCACTCATCCCAGAGAGTGGTAGCAGCAGGTGTAATAAATACCTTTTGTTGTCATGGATACAATCCAGGTTGGGGGTCAAATTTCAGCTGTTAGCAAGCAACAGCAACCAGATCCTGGACTGTTCTGTGTTTGCAGGGATTACTTTTCAGCTCTCTCTTCTTGACAAGAGCGATGCATAGAGCAGATAAGAGCACCATCTTTCTAAAGCCTTCAAGTATTCCATTAGATGCCAGGGACTTCATAGTCTCCAGCCTCCTTCAAGACAGGTTAAGTAGGGTTCAACCCAAGGCATTTGCAAAGCCTCAACGTGTTGCTTAACACAAAAAGAGGTCACTCCATTAAAAGCTCGCTTTCTAGGCATTGGAACGGGCTGAAAGGGAGAAACGGCCGAAAATTTAGAAAGATCTTACCTAAACTTTCATCTTTGTTTTTACCAGGAGACCTTCTGAGTACAATTACTAACGGCAATACAAGAATATATATTTTGACTTCTGGCCACAGGGGTGGCTAAGCAGCAATATCTCCCTTATCAATGAGAGGAAATTGCCACCATCTTGGGTTTCTGGTCAGAAGAGGCCTGGGCTGGTTCAAGAGCTGCCTAGCTCGTGTGTCAAGGACCATCAATCAATATACAGTAATAAATTCAGCAGTAAGTACCGTAAGATTCATGAAATGTGAGGATTGAAAGGGATTTTGGAGATCATCCAGATCTGGGCTCTCCAACCATGGCAACTTTAAGACTTGCGGACTTCAGCTCCCAGAATTCTTTGCTTTGTTTTGCTGGCTGAGGAATTCTGGGAGTTGAAGTCCACAAGTCTTAAAGTTGCCACGGTTGGAGACCCCTTATCTAGATCAGGGGTATCAAACTGGATTTCTTCGCGAGCCGGATCAGTGTTGTAGTTTTCCTCCTCGGGCTGGCTGGGGGCCGGAGGGGAGACAGGATGGATGTCTCCTGCAGCACTCTGCTGGCCAAACTGGGGCAACGGGGGGGCTTGTGATGCCCACAGGCCAGATTTAACCCCCCCATGGACCGGATCCAGCCTATTGCAGGAGCCTACTACTACAGCAATCCTGAGTGATAACCCTTAAGTTTCTGTTGAAACGTTTTGAGCAAAGGAGAGTCCACCGTCTCCTGAGGCAGTTGGTCCCATAGCTGAAGAATCTATATGTTAACCTTTATTGTAGGAGAACCATCTTAGTCTATAGTAGCTCAAATTCAAAGGAGTCCAGTAGCACCTTTTCAGTGTAACACACACCAACCACACTGCTGGTTCACGTTGTTGGGACCTCTGAGACACCCAGGTTCTTTTCACGGGTGGTCCAGTAGTCTCCTCCATTTTATATTCATGCCTTTAATTTATTTGCTCTACCCAAATGCATTTTCCATGCTTTGCCTTTGTCTATGTTGAAATCCATTTTCCTGACTTTCGCTTGTTGTTCCTACTCGTCGTGGGATTCTCCTGAATCTTGACACGATTCTCTAAGCTGATTGTTATCTGCTTATTTTACGTAACCTGTATTATTTTCTGATCATCATCCAAACTCAAAATTAATGTTGAACAGCACACAGCCTAAGATGGAGCCCTATTGTACTCCATGTACTGAGTTTAGCTGTGAACCGAAGATGTTAGCTAGGTGGGCAATGAAACATCTGCAAGAAAATAGCCAAGCTCAGAGACCACTAAGGACTAAAACAGCTCGACCCTGAACTGTAAATATTCTCTTTTATTAGTCATCCCTGTGACACAACCTTGTAGCCAGATGTTCTACTGATGCACTGAGGCCAGGGGACTCCAACCTTGGCCATTTTAAGACTTGTGGACTTCAACTGGAAAGGATTGTTCAAACAGCTCTCAGCCTTCCCAGATAAACCAGACAAGGAAACACAACCAGAAAAGTCAATTCTACTCTTTTATTATAAAACTAGACGAACAGATTCTTGCAGGTCTGATGGTACAAACCCCTCAGGTTCCTTAACACTACAGAAATTAGGGAGGGTTCCTTTCGGAGTCCCTTTCTCAGTCCTTATGCAGCTGTGAGCTATGCCAACTCTTGTCTGATTGTTCCCTAGGCCAGGGGTGTCCAACCTTGGCAACTTTAAGACTTGTGGACTTCAACTCCCAGAGTTCCTCAGCCAGCTTTGCTGGCTGAGGAACTCTGGG